ACACACACAGGTAACAAGTTAAAGAAAAAAATATTTAAGAGGTCTTATTACTGGGTGTAGTGGGTGCTTAGTGGTGGTGCTGGACCACCTTGTGCTACCATTCTTTGTATATATTTTTCCTCATTTCAAGGATTGGTCCCTGAGCTGGAAATGTCAGACACGAACTAAATAAAAAATAATGTAGTTAAGATTAATTCAGAGAAAGTTTCATTTCACACTCTGGTTTTAATGACTCTTAATCTCCGTCTTGGCTGCATTTGATATCAACTCTGGGGCCAGTTAGGCAGAAACTGAGCAGGTCTGCTTAGCGGCTGTGGCTGAATATGCAAAACCGTGCCTGCGAAAAAACACCCTAAGTGCTCAGCACAAAGCAAGCACTGTACAGGCCGTCAATACTGAGGAGGGTAAATGTGGCCTAACTGGTTGGAGCAGTCAGCAAACGAGTCACCATTCAATTGTGCAACAGTCTGAAAATCAGAGCAATAAAATCTGCAAAGGGATTACTGTGTACACGGTTCAAGATAACTACCATTTGAAAAGCTAAGAAAATATGTTTGCATTATTGAAAATGCAAAACAACAACCTCCATCACAATCGTATTCTTTCTCCAAACATACACTTAAAAAAACAACAACAACAACTCATCTGTAGGTTTTAAAAAAAAATCTAATTTAAATCACTGAATTGTCTTTTCAGTCTTTAAAAAGACTGCTTCATTTTAATATTATAAACTATCACATGTGTTTTTGGTAACATTTACGATAATCTTTCTTTCAATTTTATAATTCTCTCTCATTCATTTGAGCGGGTGCTAAATAAACAAAAATCAATCTCAGTAATCCATCAAAACAGCACGTCCAATGCGTGAATCCGCTCTTTCTGATATAAAACAACTAAAAAAAACCCCGCACACAATGAATATCTGTCATAATATTCCTGTTCTGTATGGAGTAGCGTCCCGTCAGTCACAATTAATGTCCACGCCAGGTGGCTGTCTGTTGCTCCTCTAATGTTAATCTTTGTAAGCTGTTGGATGCAGGAGGAACAACGTCCAAAGTTGTGCTTCTCCTTAGCGCGCTTAGGCATGTTTCTGACATTAATAACTGCAAAAAACACTAGAAGAATATTAACGCTCTAACACTACAATGGGGAACTCCTTCGCCCATTATTTAGCACAGCCCATCAGCACCACCAGAGACATTTCTATCATCCACCACCCAGCAGCATTAGCACGAGGAAACACGCTACGTACCCCGCTGTCATAACAACGTTGTAAATGACGAGATATGCCGTGGCCAGGGCACCGGGTCCCTTCTTTCTCTTCGCAGCCACATCGCCGTGGGCCGCCTTGCTGGTCCCCGAAGCAGCTGCCGACATAACTGCAACTATCAACGGTCTCCGCTCCTGAACGACGGCGGCTGTCAGGAAAGGAACATGGGCCACACCAGGAAGTGTCGTACTGAAACGGGATGTTCGCTCCACCTCACTTCCGTCTTCGTTTTGAGAAGCGTAGTTTAAAAATAAATAAATAAAAACAATTAAATAAATATTCATTTTTAAAACATCAAAAATATATTTCTTTATTCCCTTATTTAAGTTTATTATTTTAAAATATTTTTATTTGCCTTATTTAACTAATTTACTGCCCGCAGAGTGTGCAGGATCACTGAGTTATCATCGTCAGGTCCTGTGACTGCAGGTGGCGGTTTGTGTTTCTTCACATTGCCTTATTCGTTTACTAAATAATTAATAATTTTCTGCGGCAAATAAGTGGCACAGAATATTTGATTGTTCTGACTTGGAAATGCTAATCAGCAATGAGAGTATCGTTATGGAGGACCCAATGTTTAAAATATTTATTTATTTATGTATTGCTTCTGAGTGTATTCAACCTTTAATAAATCCCCAGTTTATTGTTCTCCTTCTGATTTGATTTTATCTTATTTACTTTATTTTTATTTACTTTATATTTATTTTATTTACTTGCGTACTTATTCTTATATACATTTATTTATTGTTTTATGCATTTATTTCTTTGAACATAATTACCACAGCTTCTTTGTATATGTACAAGGACAGTAAAGACCTATTCTATTCTATTACTTATTTTCAGGAATACTGAACGTTTCACCAGCAGTCAGAAACCTAATAATAGAGTTGGGCCAGCTTTTAAGAACCGGGGAAACTAGTTTGCTTTAAACATGGCAAGTAATTTTCTCACAAACAACCAAGCAATCGATTGTGAAACTGATAGTGGTCAACTCTACAAACAAGCCCAACAATGATTTTTGCTTACTGCGCTTGGAAAACACCACAAATACACACTAACAGATCCACAGCCAAAATATATCATCAAATTCAAGTTAGTTCCTCAATTCCCTATTCCTCATCTGTTTGACCTGTTGCCCCCACTAATAATAGGTCATTCAAAACACAGATCACCAGACTCATGAGCAGATTCTTCCCCAAGGTAGGTCATTTGGACTCTAAATCAACATACAAAATCAACATAGCTCTTGTGTAATTTTCAAAATTGTTCTTGTCAAATTTGTCATTTTGTAATACATTTTTCACTACACTACTACAATACCAAGTTTTTATTTAATTTTAACTTTGTATATACCAGCTTTGTATATACACACCAATGCTTTTTACATATATTTCACTGCATATCGTACTGTGTATGACTGTGTATGTGACAAATAAAATTTGATTTGATTTGATTATTTACTCTTTGTAATATTTAGCTATTTTTTTTAATTAGTTGTGTAAAAAAATACTCCACCAACCACTTAATGCATTTTACCATTTTCAGTAGCAATAAGGTTTTTTTTTTTATTCCATTCTTTTATATTGTGTTCTATTCCATTCTTAAGAGGTTAAACTGACCTGAACTACATCTAGATAGACACCTGTGCTTATGCTTTAGGGAACCATACTCTACAATAAAACGGCTCTTGTGATGGCTTCTGCACTTTTAAAGAATTCTATATCACTGTCATTGAAACTGAAGAGTCACAATTGACTGTACAAGAAGATGATTTTGGTCTTTGATGCTAGTGAAATCTGCATAAAAAGAAATGCCTGAAGGTAATAACGTTTCACCATACTGACTCATAAAAATACCAGTTTCCCCTTTTTGCTAAGGACCACTGCAGTGCTGAATTTTTAAATAATTTTGAGGGACCGTGTAGAAAAAATTGTGGTGATATATAATAATTGATTTACCTAAAAGCTAATACTTTGTGAACGTATCATTGGGACAACAATGCTGAGCCCACATCCATTATTACCCCACTAGATGCCAGTGTTTCTCTTTAACCATAAAAAATGTGTTACCCTTAATTGCTTAAGTATATGTAATGCCACAGCGCTATATTTCCACTAAGTAAAAATAAAAAAAAATAACACAATTAAAGGAAAAGGTGCAACAGACTCAGTTGCTTAGTATTTTTATTTCTTATTTTTAATTTTTTGTAAACAGGCATTATTGGAGACAGCCAAATTTCCGGAAGAGCAACTGGTGAGAGTTAGATGGACGAGGAAGCGATATTTGTTTAGGTTTAGCCTGAAGAACGCACGTACTTTTTTCATCACAAAGTCTGCCTCTTTATAAATAGTTAACATGCCTTTATTTTCCCAAAATCCATTTGACCAAGATGTTGGTAAGTAAATTGTTGTTTCTTTGGCCCTTTGAGTGTGTCACAGCCAGAAGCTAACGATAGGGCCAGTCACACTAGAGGCTAATGCTAGCTTAGCTCGAGTTGTTTATTCGCTAGCGCTACGTGATAAGTTACTTTAGGGCTGCCAATTTTTGCTACAACACCATATACCAGTCCTGCTAGCCTTTGCTAGTTTGTACCTGACCTGTCGATGTGTTGTCGACCTCTTTTATTAAGTTTGTCGGCCAGTTCATTTGTTAGTATCAGCGATTGCTTTGTAAGAAAAAAAAAACTTGGTGATTCATATAAACTCACAGGATAACCGCCATTACAAGATCAGCTGATCCCAAATCAACTCAAACTACGTTTATGGTTCTATTTTATCTACTTTATCACACAAATACCATTAGTTTAAATCTCCTTTATCATTTTTTCTGTTTTCGTTGAAGCGTATACTTTGTTGATGCTCGAAAACAGTGAAATCCCCATTGCGGTTCACTTGACGTCTCACTTGGGAGGATTTGGTGTTTTCCTTTGTTTTATGTAGAAACTAAATGAGGTTTACATTTTGGTGTATTGGTTAGACAAAAAGAAGTGGATTGAAGATGTCTCCGTGGGCTGCAATTGTTAGTGATGCCTGTTTTCAGTATTTGGAGTTGATACGTCATTGGATAGTTAAATGTGAAAATAATATAGTAATGAGTCATTAATGATTACAATTGTTGAAACCTTTTTTCTCTCCGGCTGATGATTATTTAGAAAAGCTTGGTCAAGACTAATTAATCAATCACTCTCTGGCCTTTCGGGTTTGGTTGTTATCTGTCTGTATTCAGATGGGTGTAAAATTAAAGGAAAACTCTGAATGTTTCACCCCAGCATGGAGATAATCCTGCTGATTTAACATATTGTGGCAGTCTTCTGCTGGCATTGTTTGTGTCCGCATGTCCCTTTAGCGAGAACTGTCAGTGAAAACAAATGTAAGTGTTTCGCAATAATCGCTGATGTCCTATGACCTTCCTATTCTGATGAATAGTCTCTTCCCACATGACAAACGGGTTATCTATAAGGTGTATGAGTTAAATAATATGGACTTCACACTCATGAGCTCCTAACCCAGTTGAACATTTATGGAAGATTTTGGACCAGTGTGTTAAACCTCACTTTCTACCACCATTTTTTAAACATAAAATAAGGGGATATGTATTTTATTTATTTATTTATTTTTAAAGGGTGTTGTTTTCCTGTAGTTGAGGTCTAGAGTCTTGGAAAATCCATGCCAAGCCTTTCTAATGACCCAGCACCTTTCTAAGACATTTTATATTGTGTTTCCCTTTAATTTGTCAGCTATCCTACGTGTTTTCCTAAGCTCATCCTATGTAAATTTTCATAGACACTTCCTGGCTGAACAGCTTTATCTGACTGTGCAACACTGTAGTCCTTGTATGACCATACAATAGAGCACTATTGCACTAGAGAGTCATGGGAGTGACACTATGAGTTGGAAACGTCATACAAGTAATTTGCTACTAGCATATTGTGAAACAGTGGCAGGTCACTTTGCATGTCAGAACACCACTTAACATCAATATCGTAGAGATCAATATAGTTTATGTTGTGATTTTTCTTTTAACTCAGAAGATAATGCAGTTCAATTGTTAATGAGGCTTTTCTTTTAGCTTGTCAGCTGTTGAACGGGTCACAGGTTAAAGTACTTAAATATTTACATGGGATTTCTAAGTGTCTTGTCACAATAGGCCATTAGGAACAGGTTGCACAATAAAAACAGCAACATGTAGTTGGCTTATAGAACCCTTCCACACTCATTTTGAGTTCGATAGGTGACAGTGTAACATAAATTAGATGTACAATGTGCCAGTTAAGGGCTTGCGGCTCATTTTTATATTACACCATGCATTTGGCATGTCTTCCCACATTTTCTTTGGAGATAAGCAGCCACAATGCCATTGGAGTTATTTTCTCACTGGAGCATATGCACTAAATCCGCATTTTACATATTTCCAGAGAAGGCAACCAATGAAAACAACACAACAGATGACTGGGCACTTATCATGGACATCTGTGATAAGATTGGAACAACAGCCAATGGGTAAGCTTGAAAGAGCCATCTTCTGTTTAATATTAATGGCACATTTTGATTTGAGCAGCCCAGTGGCCCCGGACACTTAATTTGAAAGTGTTTCATACTTGATGACATCAGCAGTACCCCCCAATCCACAGACTGTGTTCCCTTCTGTTGCAGACCAAAGGACAGCTTAAGATCCATTATGAAGAGAGTCAACCACAAAGTGCCTCATGTGGCGATGCAGGCTCTTAACGTGAGTTTGTTGCTTTACTATTTAATTTAATGTATAAAAATGGCATCACAAATAACTGCAAAAGTTTAATAAATCAATAGATTGGGTCAAACACCTCTCTAGTTTTGGGGTTAGAAGTACAGTTTATTGGCATTTGGGCTGCAAACCCATTTTCTTTAAAAGGATACAGGAAAGTAGACCCTTTCCACGCCAGTATTATTTAAATGAAATGAAGAATGTGAGACCTGTTTGTCTGAGTCATTGTGAGCTAATACTGTCACATGACCTGCTCTATTCTTAGATTTCTGTCTTTAAATTATTGAGATAATTTCAGACTGTTGTCATCAAATCCCACCTCTAAACTCACCTGCTGTTAAAATGTGCTGTAAATAATGAGTGGTTGTCTTTTTACTGCGATACTTATTTCACTGTCTTGGCTTGCAGTTGCTGGGTGCTTGTGTATCAAACTGTGGCAAAATATTCCACCTGGAAATCTGCTCAAGGGAGTTTTCCAGTGAAGTGAAGAGCATTTTTAACAAGGTATGAAAACTTACCTGATTTGCGTTTCTTTTTTTTCCTTCCTTTTTTTGGGGGTGGAATCTTATCCAGAGAATTTCTTGTCTGTGTCCTTCAAACTCAGAGGAATTTTAAGTTTAATGTTACAGTTAAAATCTTGACCAATGCCAGACTCCATAGCTGTTTGTTTTCATGTCTTCTTTAGGCACACCCTAAGGTATGTGAAAAGCTAAAGGCTCTGATGGTTGAGTGGGCAGAGGACTTTCAGAAAGATCCACAGTTGAGCCTGATTGGGGCCACCATCAAGTCTCTGAAAGAGGAGGGTGTCAGCTTCCCATCCCCATCCTCACAGGTATATTGACATGATGATTCTGAGAAGTGTAACAAAGTCATTTAGAAGTCTTATACAGTCTTTACTTTGCAGCAGCTGCACCTGAGTTTTTATTTTATAATTCTTTGTGATATTTGATGCCAGTATAACAGATAAACAAAGTGTAAGTATACTGTATTTGCAGCATAAATAAAGGCCTCTTTTTGTAAAGTATCAGATTTTACACAAGCTGATGTTCTGTTAAACAATATTGCACATCACAATATACCCTCATCTCTTTTACATTGTGTGGTCACTAAAAAAATACAATCTACCTTCTTTTTTCTACTTGGAAATAGGTTCTTCTTTTAAGCTAGTAATATACATCCCACATCCAGTAGGGTTCACTAGCGTGCTGAGGCTGGAATTGTAGCCATGATTTGACCTCAGGCTAGTGTAGTGATTGTGAAGGTTCAGGCTGGGTGGAGTTTGTCTGTTTTGGAGAGTGTATATATGAGAGGAGCTTAGAGGGGAATTTCCTCTTCACATATTTCACATAATTCTTTGGAGGTTTATGTCATAGTCTGACTTGGTAATAGTCAGAGCTGCTTTCTAGTTTCTGTTCTGCTGCTTAATGTGTGTGTGTGTGTTTTTTGTTACGCAACAAACTGGACTTTGACATCAGTTTCTCATAAAGCATCTGACGTACTTGAAGACTTTAACTCTAATAAAGCTGCCACTGAGGGGAGAACTATTGTAGCCTTCAGTAGAAACATAAATGTGCAACACATCTTTTTCTGCATAATAGACAACTCAGAGCATTAAATAATAAACAACGAATGACAGTGATGTGAGTTAGGGCTGCGCTGATTTAAGTATTTCGAATAATTTGATTAAAAAAAATTCTCGACACACATTCTTTGCTTTGATGGTTGGTTTAAGGCACGGCTCTGTGGCGCACCATTGTTACAATGGAAACGCCATAAGACTACAAGCAGACCTGCAATACAAACCTTTTTAAGGAGCAGCGTGTGAATAAAAAGTTTGATATTTAGCGCACGCACACTGATAACACAACAGCAGCAGTGATGATGAGGCTGGTGCAGTTTAACGTGGAGCCAGAGTCTGTTTACACACTGCGACGAGCAAATGCAGCTGAACTGTTAACTTAGTCTGGAACATGTTTAAATTATACAGCTTGCTGAGCAGCCGTCCCATTTTACAGGGGTGAGTCTAAAGGGGGACATGAGGTGTACTAGACCATTTTTATTATCTATTAAGATTTTCATACAATTTTTGAGATGATATAAAAATACTGTCTCAATTAAATTGCCTTAATATTTAAAACATATATAAAATTACATCTTTTTTCCCAAGCCAATAAAAATATACATGGCCCAGTAAAACTCTGAGCCACTGATCTGAGGGTTGTTAGGTTGGACAGTGAATTATTGTTAATATTAATTAACGTCTACACTAGTGTGTCGGGTAATCT